ATGAATCAAATATGCACTTTTATTCATTTACAATAAACTCATAAAGTACATCATTCTGATTGAAGCTAAGGGCATACAAAACTGTCTAACACATAAGACACAAAGTGAGAGGTATGATAATTAGTAGTACAAGATCTAACATCCTTTCTCTTAGCAATAGGAACATCAAGATCATCAACAACAGGGGGATCAATATCAAAAGGATTAGGCATATCATTGGGAACAAGTGTACCTGGTTAATGATGAGGATCATAGTTTTAGGTTCCACGCATAGTTTTCAAGGTGCCAAAGCGAGGCTGCGCAACAGGGGGGCACCTTGTCGCCTAGTCGCCTAGGTGGGTGCCTAGGCGATGAATTTTTTTAAGTAAAAATCACATATCCTAGGGTAGTTCCCTAGGTTCCATAACCAGTTTTCTTTAATAACTATCCATAATTTTCATAAGAAAATTATAAACTTCATGTTTAAGTCTAGAAAATCAACATATTTATGAGAAGAAAAAGAAGAAAGGAAAGAAAATTCAAAAAATATAGGGGCTGAACCCCTATTTTTGTTATAGGAAAAGAAATATGTTGATTGGACAAAATTTTAAGTTCTTCCCTTACTTGTTTGTTCAGATTTTGAAGTCATTGAGGGTTCAATACAGCAGTTAACAATGTTTGTGTTGATTAAATCCTAACAAATAAGAAAATAATAAAAAGAAATTAGTTTATAAACACAAAAAAATGAAAAATTTTCTTTAATAATGTCTATTTTATAATTATAGTCTCAAAAAAATAACAATATAAAAGTATTTTATTACACAGTATGAAAAACTACTCGGCGATTGGGTGAGGCGAACCTCCAAGGGCTCCTTGTCGCCTAGGCGTCGTCAAACATTAGAATAGACAATATGAAATGGAAATTTGGATCTTTTATTTCTTAAAAGAAAATAACTTCTACAATGTTTGCTCAATTGACATGCCTGACATTGTAACTCACTATCTGACAATGACTTAAGTAACTCAGGAAACATAAGTTTTAAGGACTCAAAAGAAAGATGACCAAGACGACTATGCCATAAGTAGGCGTGACTCACTAGATGAGCTTAAGGACTTTGTAGCCACAAGACCGGCTTTATTCTCCAACACGTAGAGACCATCCACAATGCTTCCTCCCCCAACTATCTTCCCCAAGGCCAAATCCTGAAACACACGAAGGAAAGGAGGTAACTAAACAATTCAAGGAGTGAGTAATACTACTAATGGAAAGTAAAATGATAGGTAATTTAGGAACATGCAACACATTAGAGAGGGTAAGACCGAATGGAAGGGAGATGGTTCCTTGACTGTCTATGGTGGAGAATGATTCATCAGCCAGTCTCGCCTTCTCTCTCCCAGAGAGGAGGTTATATGCCTGATGATATAAAGTTGACTTACCAGTCATGTGATTTGAGGCCCTAGAGTCAATTATCCAAAGGGAATCAGATGTATGAGATGACACACGGAAAGCAGTGGCGGTGTTACCTGATGTAGATGCAAAGGAGGTAGAAGTAGGGCTAGAATCCATTTGGTGAAGTGTCCTACCATATAACTCCAAATGGTCACGGAAAGAGTTGATAATCTCTTCCTCTTTTCACTGTCAAAATTGCATCTAACCGTGAACTGAGCACCGGCTGGTGAATCCTCTCTCTCTCTCTCACAGATGCGAACTCAGCACCGGTGAACACAGTCACCGGCGGTGAGTTCTTTCTTCTGTTAGGTCGGGCTTCGGGCTCAGGCTTGAGCTTCGGGCTTTTTATTAGGGCTAGGCTCGGGCCCATGTTATAGGCCCATTGGTCGGGCCGGGCTCGGGCCTAACAAAACCATGTTTATGAAGAGTAAAAGCCCGGCCCGAGCCTGGCCCATGAACAGGTCTATCTGTGAATCACCCTTCTTAAAAGAGCCTTTGACATTTGAATTTGTACCTTCTCGGACTACTAGTGCAATCGGGTCCCCCACAATTCACCACACTTCTACTCTCTTCAGTCTGAACTAAGACATAAACTTCTTGAACTGAAGGTAAGTCCTTACTTCCCAAGATTTGTACCCTAATAGACTCATGTAGGATTCAGCCCCAAAAGAAAAACAAATACTCGTTGTTGGGAGACAAGTGACTTGTAGGCCTTTGCATCTTCATCACACATCCAATTCACATTATGATAATGATCCAGTTCCTACCAGATTGATGTCAGATCTGAGTAGTACACTGAGAGACTTCTCTCCCCCTGCTTACAAGTGGAGGATTCAACTTGCAGTTGGTATACCTTTGCATAGTGCCTCTTTTCCGAATAGGTAGATTTCGCTTGTTCCCATATTTCGCAAGCTGTTTCAGCCCACATAAATGTCTTATTTACTTGTGGCAGCATGAAAACGGAGAGCCATGACATCGCCATACTATTTTCTTGGTTCCACTTGTCATGTTCAGCACTTCCAGTCTTTGGTTCCTTCACTTTACCGTTAAGATACCCTATTGTCCCCTTGGCAGTAATGTAGAGTTTAATTCCCCTAGACCATTCAAGGTAGTTTAGTCCATCAAAGGGAATAGCAGCCATGGGGAAACTCATATCAATCCCACCACTCATTCCGTTTTGACCTCCTAAAACCCCAGAAGTTACAAAATTCTCAGAGGACATGGTTAAATTCACTATTCAGATTCAACACAACTTAGGATCCCTTCTGACACAAAAAAAAAGTCCTAGAAACACACGAGAGAAGTAGTCCACATGCACATACTTTGGTTTGGACACAATCTGAACACAGACCAGCACCGATTCTCCAAAAAAAGGTATGTTTAGATTGATAACAGTTCCAGCCTACCAATCTTCCAAATTATCTAAGCACATTAACCACCAGGAGAGATCCTTAGAAAATTGTAATTACACCAAAACTGGGAAATAACAGATCATCCATGACCTACAAATATCCCCTTCTCAGGTATAGGATCACACAATCCACAGAAAAGAGGTCTAAACCTCACAATTTTTCTAACAGCATTCAGCAGACTTGCTTCAAAGAGTTTTCTCTTGGTACACAACCAAGATAAGAGAGAAAAAAAATAGAAAACATGTACCAGTCATAGGTCAGCTTTTCTAATCTCAGTCTAGAGAAGACAGCAAGATGAAGAGGAAAAACCTTGTTCGATCAGATCTCAAACCCAGTAGAACTGCTCTGATACCATCTTAATAGAGAAAGAACAATAGGAAACAAGAAGGAAAGAGAGAGAGAGAGAGAAGAGAGTTGTTTGGCGAAAAGAACTAAGTCTAGCGGTGCCAGATTATAATATTATATATAGGGTGACCATAATTAAAAGGGAAAAGACCCTTGTCCCCTTTTGTAGTTAAAGTACATAAACAGTGATAAAAAAAGCTATTTTAAACAGAACAAACTGACCCTAACTAAGCAGAATAAACACATAAATGTAAAGTAAACTGTTCCAACAAAATGCAGTATTTAAGAGAGCTGTATTATGTAGATTGTTGAATAGTTAACAAGAGGCAAATGCTAGTAATTCTGTCACTATGGTGAAACTGGTTCTTTTGACTGAACTGACTTGCCATCACAACATCACCATCATCCGTGCCTTATCCCAACTATATGGGGTCAGCTACATGAATCCTGTTTTGCCAATCCATTCTATTTAAAGCCATATCCACTGTTAAATTTCCACTTCTAATCAATAAATTTAAATACATATATGCTTCTTATTTTTTGCTAAGAATTACATTGGACTTCACTTCATATGGTAAAGCAAAACAAATTCAACGAAATTTGAATGCTCAATCATAGGGATAAGTTCCTTTGGTGGAAACTTCCAAGATGTTTTGGCCTTCCAAATGCCTTTTCAGTGGTAGTTAACAATGATTTATGTTCCATAAACAAATAAGTGTGTTAGGTAACCTGGAAAATATTAGAACACAAGCAAAAAATAACTGCATATAAAAGAAAATAACATTTACCTATGGCATGGACCACCACATGAGCGGATGGTTACTTGCTCCTTTTCAGGCAACTTGTTGTAGTATGTGCACTCAAAAACATGAACCATGGAACCGCAGTGACATGACCGCTTGATAAGTGTTTTACAAGGGGGGCATTCTCCAGGATGACATGGCAGTGGACAAGGATGTGGACATGAAGGTTTCCTCTCCTAAAATAAGATAAAATTACGGAGGCAACTTATAAATTGTAGAACTTAGAATTACCACATAGAATTGGGGAAAGGAATTTCTTCTATTTTGAAATGATAACCAACCCAAAAGATTGAATACAAAAAAAAAAAAAAAGATGTTCAAAGGATGTTGTAGTGAGAATGGGCCAAATGGGCCTTAGTGTTCTTTATTTCTTTTAAGTAGTATTTAAAAGTTATGTTTCTTAGTTATGGGCCTTTTTTTATTTTCTTTAATTATTTCTTTAGTGCTGGCCACCCCATCAAGGGCACCCAAGTAATTGTACTCAGACTTAGAATTATTAATAAAAGTGATGAAAAGGGGCTAGAGAGAGAGGTTCTAATTCTTCTTTTCTCTCTTCCCTTCTTTTCTTCTTCCACAACCTATTGCTGAAATTTCTTTCTTCTTCTTTCTCTTTCTCTCTTTTCTACTTTTCTTACATTATCTGAATTACTGTAGGTGTAATTTTCAATTTGGTATCAGAGCGGGTTCTCACTTTCAACTTTTTTCTCCTTTCTTTGCCCATACATAGTGTGTATGGAGAATTTATCGGTTGATCAATCAGCTACTTACGCAGCTTAGTCAGGAAGGTTTTTGGAGAGTTTTGTGGAGGTTTTTCATCCTTAGTTGAAGCCCAAGGTAGGTTCTTGGAGATTTTTCCCGAAAACCCTAGATAACTGGAGAAACCTTGTTACAAGTCGTAGAGACAGTTTGAACCAGGCACTTGGGGATCAGAGGTAAGCCTTTTGATTTCTATTAGGGGCGGTTTTGGTTGGATTGAATTTTGCAATCTCTGGAAGGGGTGGTTGAAGTTTCTCTCTTTCTCCCTATCCCGCAGGACCCTGTGAAACCCTAATTTTGGGGGATTGAAAGGTTGTTCTTTGCTTAGAATAGTAAATCTAAACCAGTAAAGTCCTAATTTGATTTTCGTTTGCATCTGTTCATTTAATGGAGCAAACTGGAGGAGAGACCAAATATTCCACTGATTCCGGGTTTGGACATGAGGGGTCAATGGAGAATCTTTTTGGGGTTGTGACTACTGTGAAGCTAAATAGGACCACTGATTTAGCTTGGTCTCAGTCCATTAAGATACATGTGTGTAGTAGAGGAAAATGGGGTTATATTACCGGAAGCAAGAASAAACCAGAGGAGGAGGATCCTACCTATGAAAGGTGGATGCAGGAAAACTACATAGTAGTGGGTTGGTTAGTGAATTCTATGCAACCACACATTAGTCAGCATTACCTATGGATGAAAATTGCAAAAGAAGTGTGGGATAGTGTCACAAAGACCTATTCCCAAAAGCTTAATGTTGTTTGGGCCTACAAATTGAAGCATGACGCGAATAATCATAGACAGGGGGGGGGGGGCGAGAAGCCCTTAGCAGTCTACTTCTCTATGCTGAAATCTCTTTGGCAAGTGATTGATCTGATGGAGACTGTTGTTTGGGGTTGCACAAAGGATGCAAAAACATATAGGTGGTTGGTGGAGAGAAATCGGGTCTTTGAGTTCCTCACCGGACTCAACTTGGAGTATAATATTGTGAGGCAGGATGTTTTAGCAAAGGATGAAGTGACTTTGTCTCGGGCATATGCTATGGTGAGCAGTGAGGAGAGCAGAAGACAGGTTCAGTCTGTTGAGCCACAGGTTGATCACTATGCTAACGCTGGGATGAAACCGAAGGTTAGCACTAAGAAGAAAGATGTTATCTGTGAATACTGCAAGAAGCCTAAATACACTAAAGACACATGTTGGAAGCTGCATCCAAAGCTCGTTCTTGCCAGATCCAAGAAAGAAAATGGTGGAAAAAGGGTTGAAACTGGAAAAGGTGGAAATAAAAATGTAGCCACCTCTTCACAAGGTGAACAAGGATAGGGTGGAGAGAAGTCAGTGGGAGAACAACTAACATACACCATCAAGGATTTCTCCTCACCATCAAGGTTATGCACTGGCTGAAAGTGAAAGTACATCATCTTTTCAAGGATTTCTCCTTAGCGAACTTAATTAGAAATTGGAGTGCTATAGCTATATCCTCGCCTTCCTCCCCTGTGGTAGAAGATTGTTGGGTACCACTGCCTCAGTTCAGGGTGAAGCTAAACTTTGATGGAAGCTCCTTGGGTAATCCAGGTCAGTCGGGAGTTGGGGTGTGTATAGAAACGAGGAAGGAAAAGTCTTGGCCCTTTACTCAGGCCCAATTGGGGTGGGAGATTCATCAAGGGCAGAAGTAATGGCCTTACTTCAAGGTTTGAAACTGGCGAAACAATGAGGAATGCAACATTTAGAAGTGGAAGGAGACTCCAAGCTTGTAATAGGGTGGATGCAAACTAGAAAATAATTAGCTTAGCAAGGGAGATTGCGGTGCATTTTAATTGGGTAAGAAGGTCAGCAAATGGAATGGCTGACACTTTAGCTAAACAAAGAGTTACTTGGGAGGCTTTGTCTTGGGCCTGTTTGTAAGTTTTTGATTTTCTTTTTCCATCCATTCGTGGGTAGTAATCTTGTAATCTTTTCAATTATCTAATGAAAGTTACCGTTTCCTATCAAAAAAAACAGTTGACAAGCGCAAGGGCTGAATATGAGAAGTATGGCTAAATCATCAGTCGCTTGGAGTCCACTACTACAGCTCATTCAGAGATTGTTCCTTCCTCTACATATGCTCACTCAGGTATTCGTGCCACTGCACATCATGCTTCTACCTTAGGTACTCATAAAACCCCTTGCATAATTGATTCTGGTGTTTCTGACCATATGACAAGTGTTTCACAATTATTCAATTCTTACCAACTTCTTTCTAGTTGGGACAAGATATCCCTTGCCGATGGCTCCCTAGCTCCTATCACGGGAAAGGGAGACACTAAGACCTCTAATGCCCTGACCTTATCTTTTGTTCTTCGTGTAACTAAACTTAATATCAAATTGCTTTTAGTTAGTAATTTGATTAAATCCCTTAATTGCAATGTGACATTTTTTTCCTTCCTATTGTGTTTTTCAAGACATGGAATCTCAGAAGGTGATTGGGAGTGGCCATGAGGCGAATGAGATCTATCTGTTAGACATGCCCAAGCAAAACCAAGTACAACCTAAGAGAACTGCATTTGTTTCAGAGTCCACTAGTCGTATTATGTTATGTCATAGTCGYTTGGGTCATTTGTCCTTTTCTTCATTGAGTTGGTTGTTTCCAGAGTTATTTAAAGGAATTAGTCTACCGAGTCTTCATTGTGAGTCTTGTGAGTTCTCAAAGCATTGTAAGAGCACTTATCCTTCAAGTAATAAAAGATCAACTATTCCTTTTAATATTGTTCACTATGATGTGTGGGGGCCTTACCATTTACCATATATGGGTGGGTATAAATATTTTATCTTGTTTATTGATAAATTTTCATGATATACTTGGATTTACCTTATGCGCTATCGGGTTGAAGTGCCTAAATTTGTGCAACAGTTCCATGAACACATACTCAGTTTAATACCTGCATCAAAATATTCCGATCAAACAATGCTAAGGAATATTTTGAGAAGGATCTTACCTCCTATCTTAAGAAGTTTGGAGTTATTCATTGGAGTTCTTGTGCCCGCACTCCACAACAAAATGGAGTAGCAGAGAGGAAAAACAGACGCATTGTGGAAGTTGCAAGGAGCATTCTTTTTGCTACCCATGTTCCTATGAAGTTTTGGGGTGATGTAGTTTTAACAGCCACCTACCTTATTAACCACATGCCTTCTCGAGTCTTGGGGTTAAAATCTCCTTTTCGAGTCCCCTTTCTTGATGTTGAGATTTTTTCTATTCCTCCGAGGGTCTTTGGTTGTACTTGTTATGTCCACATTTCCAGTTCCAAAAGACACAAGTTTGATCCCAAGGCTTAGAAGTGTATCTTCCTTGGTTATGCCTCCACACAGAAAGGATACTGTTGTTTTGATCCCATTAGTGGCACTCAGCTTGTTTCCATGGATGTCACCTTTGTAGAGTAAGTTCCTTTTTATAGCCATCCTTCTGGGGGGGAAAGATCTCTCGAGTTGTTTTCTTCATCCCTTCCTTTGCCAACTCTAGTTGAGTTTTGTGTTGAGCCTTCCACAGTTACCCCCATTCCCGTGGAGGGTTCCTCTCCTTTGAGGTCTTCCACTCCTGCTCCTCCCCCTCCTCTTGCTAGTACTCCAGTTGTTTTCACTCACACTATTCTGCAAAGATGGTACCAACGACAAAGGCTAAGGCAAACACAAGTTGATCCCACACCTCCAGTTGAGTCTTAGGCGCTCCCGATCATTGTATTTCCAAACACCTTTCCTACAACTTCTTGTCCCCATCCTATTATGCCTTTCTACCCCTCCATTTCCTCTCAATCCATCCCAAAGTCTATTTCAGAAGCCTTAGCCACACCAGAAGGGATACTATGAGTACTGAAATAAAAGCCCTTCATAAAAACAATACCTGGGATATTGTTGACTTGCCAACTGRGAAGGAACTTGTTGGGTGCAAGTGGGTTTTCACTATCAAGTATCATACAGATGGGTCAATTGAGAGGTATAAGGCTTGGCTTGTTGCCAAGGGATATACCTAGGTATATGGGATAGATTACATTGAGATCTTTTCTCTAGTTGCTAAGATGACTTTGGTGAGAGTCCTTTTATCCTTAGTAGTGAGCTATGATTGGCCTCTATATCAATTTGATGTTAAGGATGCATTCCTGAACGATGATCTCACTGAAGAGGTATATATGTCCCTTCCACCTGGTATATATGGCAAGGAAATGCAGGGTAAGGCGTGTAGATTAAAGAAATCAATTTATGGCCTAAAACAATCTCCATGTGCTTGGTTTGACAGGTTTAGGACTACTCTTGTTCAGTTCGGCTACACTTAGACTTAATCAGATCATACCCTCTTGGTTAAGAGAAAAGGCACTCAGGTGCATTTCTTATAGTTTATGTAGATGATATTGTGATTATTGGTAGTGATACAAAAGAAGTTAGTGCTCTCAAGAAGTTTCTCAGTTCTAAATTTAAAATTAAAGATTTAGGAGAGTTGCGGTATTTTTTGGGCATTGAGGTTGCTAGGTCTAAGGAAGGTATCTTTATTTCTCAACGGAAGTATGTGCTAGACCTTCTTACTGAGACTAGAAAAGTTGGTGCTAAACTTGCCTCTACCCCTACTGATGTGAATCATAAACTCTTAGCTAATGATGGAGAACTTTTAGCTAACAGGGGAGTGTTTCAGAGATTACTGGAGAAACTTCTTTATCTATGTATGACTCGTCCAGACATTTCATATGTTGTGAGTGTCATCAGCCAATTCATGCATGCTCCTAGAGATACACATATGGCTGCTACAGAAATGGTGTTATGCTACTTTAAGGGAACCCCCAGGAAGGGTAAGTTATTTGCTAAACATAAACACATGAAGGTAAAAGCATATACAAATGTTGATTGGGCAGGAAATGTGGATGATAGGAGATCCACATCAGGATATTGTGCTATGGTAGTTGGAAATATTGTTTCTTGGAGAAGCAAAAAGTAATCAGTGATAGCTAGATCTTCAGCTGAGGCAGAGTATAGAGCTATGGCCCATGGTGTGATGAGTCACTGATGTTGTATTGTGATAACCAAGCTGCTATCATGGTTTCAAATGTCGCAAAATTTCGCTAATGTCGCCCGACATATGTCGATGTCGAGGCTCACCGACATGAAAATGGATGGTAATATAAAGATTACATTATTTCGGTCAACATTTCCTTACATTTCAGAAATGTCGACCGAATCGGTCCAAATAACAAAAAAAAAGACAGCTTTTCCTAGTTTTTCCTATTATGTCAACAGGATGTCGACTAATGTACATTAATAATATAATATATTAATATATTATATTAATATAATACAATGTATTAATATAAATTATTCCATTAATAATTTCTATTTAATATTTCAAATAAAATATTTATAAAAAATAATTAACAAAAAATAAAAACAAAAGAATAAATTAATTATTTTATAATATGAAACATAAAATATTTTTCAAGTAATAAAATATTAACTAGTTGGTATTTTAAAAATATTTATTAAAATCAGAAAATGCTTATTAAATTATATAATAAATCATATTCTAAATTTAATATAAAAAATCAGAATARATTTATTAAATTTTATACTAAATCATAATTTATTATAAATTTAGTATTAAAAATCATAATAAATTCATTAAGTTTTATATGAAATCAAAATTTATCATAATCTTAATAGTTAATACTACAAAAAGGAGAATCAATTTATTAAATTTATAATAAAACATAATGYATTATAACTTTAATATTTAAAAAAATCAAAAATAAATTTATTTCTATTTACTAGTGTGAAATAAATATATTAGAATTTATAATAAATCAGAATTAAAAATAAGAAAAGAAAATATCGGATAGCCTTGTAAAAACATCAAAATGCATAATAAATCAGTAAATTGTCATTTACTAATTTGTTATTGATATTAGTTTCTTAGCTTTATATAATGGTTGGGAATAAGATAATAGTCTAGAAATATGTATTAATGCTTCTTTTATCATTTTACAAAATATCATTGAATATTTCCACATATTTCATAATATTTCTACAATGTCTCTAATTTTTACAATATTTCCCCTCGACACTTCCGACATATGTCCTATATTTTGGTAAGCGACATTTCCATCGACATCGACATTTTAAACCTTGGCTGCTATTAACTTTGCTCACAACCCAGTTCAGCATGATAGAACTAAGCACATTGAGGTAGACAAACACTTTATACAGGAGAGAGTGGCTTTAGGAGAGGTGTGCCTACCTATCATTGCATCAGAAGAGCAGCTAGCAAATTTTCTAACTAATGGAGTCCCAAAGGCAAAGCTTCAACATCATGTAAGCAAGCTAGGCATGATTGACATCTATGCTCAGTTTGAGGGGGAGTGTAATGAGAATGGGCTGAATGGGCCTTAGTGTTCTTTATTTCTTTTAAGTAGTATTTAAAAGTTCCTTCTTTTATTTTCTTTAATTATTTCTTTAGTGCCGGTCGCCCATTAAGGGCATCCAAGTAATTGTACTCAGACTTAGAATTATTAATAAAAGTGATGAAAGGGGGCTAGAGAGAGAAGTTCAAATTCTTCTTCTCTCTTCCCTTCTTTTCTTCTTCCACAACCTATTGTTGAAACTTCTTTCTTCTTTCTCTTTCTCTCTTTTCTTCTTTTCTTGCATTATCTGAATTACTGTAGGTGTAATTTTCAACTGATGTAATAAATGGAAGAATTACAAAGACACCCCCTAGGTGTTCAGGTTTGTCAGATTTTGTTAGAGAATAAAACCCTATTCAGGGACCTGATCTAACAGCTTAAGCTTTTTAGGTTGAATGGTTCTTTTAGATGGTATCGGTACCTACTTAACCAAGTGGTCTAGTGTTAGATCCTCATTGCCCCCATTATAATTAATTAAATTTCAGCACAAGGTATGGGTGGGCCTGTGCTTGTCCATGAAGGGGCATCTCAGGAGAATAAAAACCTATTCAGGGGCATCGCCTAACAACTTAAGCTTTTAGGTTTAACAATTCCTTGAGACATTTCAATTTGATAGCAGCTCTCATGGAAGTGATCTCAAAGCACCTGCAACAACTTGTATTGAAGGGGTTTTCTTTGGAACAGACAAACATCATTTGGGCCTAGGTCAACCTGTGCCAGACCCAAACTCAACTTTGGGCCTACATGAGATCCTAGTAGGGGTGAGCATGGGTCAGTTTGTTTCGGTTCCATGGCAGGTTTTTGGAACTGGCGCCTATCCTCTGAAGGTCGGTTACAGGGCCGGTTTTGGCCTTGGTGGTTCTGGGGTCAGTTCCACCTTGTGGAAACCTGTTCTTTCTTTAATTTTCCCCTTTAAAAATGAAACATGTTCTTTAAAAACTTGATTTTCAATAAATATAATATATAGTTTAAAACTTATACTATCTTTATTAATTAAATTGAGTAATTTAATATGTAGATTATCATAGTATATTAATATATGGTTCAAAACATCGTTAGGATTTAAATTTTGTAAATATTACCTTTACATTACTTATTATACACATTCACATATTAAAATGAAAATAATCAATGGAATCACTTAAGTAATTCAATTGTCAAGTGAGCCCATGGCCTTTGTAACCATGAGTGCTTGGGTTCGAATACTCACATCCTCAAAAATATTTTGGGGTTTATTTTAAGGTAACTTCGGTTCCAAGGCTGGTTAATCATGTCGGTGTTCATGTAGGACAAACCCCTAGACCCTAGAATCAGCCTGGGTAGGGGTCGGTTCCAAGAATTTGGAACCAGACCCTACCCTGTACCAGATTGGGTAGTGTCGGTTCAAGGCTGGTCTGAGGTCGGTTCCATTCGGTTCCAGGTAGAACCTACCCATTGGCTCACCCCTAGATCCCAGGCCCAATCCTAGCTTTCATATGCTGAGACAAAACTCAGGCTTGGCAGGCAAGGAMTCGGGCCAGCCTGGTTCAATACTCAACCCTACCATGGAGGTTCACTCGTCTCTTGAAGAAATTAGAGAAATCGTTGTGTCATGAATTCATGATACCAGATGAATTTCTAGAACCTTAAATGTATTTCAGATGGGGCTTGCCAAATAAAGGGAACAGTAGGCTTTTTTGTATAGTGAAAGCTCTCTACCTATAAAACCAGGATGCCTAATACAAGGGTGCTGTGTTATGTTGGATCTTCTAGTAACAGTGTAAATTTCTTATCTGATACGGTATCCATTGCTCTCCTTGACATATCCAGGTAATATAGCTCTCTACCTCCAAAGTATGAAAGCAAGACAGCCTTGCCTTTTTCTAATAGCTCTCTGCACCCTCTCGTGCACACTTTGTCAACAGTTAATATATTTTTCGCACTTACCCTTTCTCAAGGGAAAGAAAAACAATAGACTGCAGATGTAAAAAGAGAATGAATAATAAAACCTTTTCGCAAGGAAGATCACACTCTTCACAGGACTYGCTTCTTTCATGCAGACCTGATTTTGAAGGCTGGCTCTTCAGAGCATGGCAAGTTTTAGTACAATAATGGTTACCACACAGAAGAAGGTTTCCACACAAGTTGTTACAGGAAAATGTTGTTCTATCAGAACAGACCATCTGAAAAGGAAAACATTAAGAATTAGCAAGTTAAAAATGGCATAAATGAACAAGATAGAAGGAATATTAGTTAACAAAAAGTTGTTTTGAACAAAGACAAAGAGAGACAAAGAGTATTTCATTTTTGAATTAGTTAAAAACCTTAATGACTGTACTAAATTTTTGAATTATTAATGCAATCTTTTTATTGATAAAAAAATATTAGTTAACAAAAAGACAGTATTTCATTTATTCTATAAATAATTTTTGCAGAAATTTCCACAACTAACCATCTGCTCTGCGGCAATGTGCTGGCCCAGGCATGATCTCCAAACAAGTTCAGAACAAGGAGGGCATGGTGATCCAGGGGTACATCCCATCTGTTGATTTTTTTTCTTCTTCGGTTTCAATGTGAATTCTGGATTAGGAGGAGGTTTAGGCCCATGGCACCTGAAAACGAAAGGTCAAGTGCTAAATTAAAGAGAAAGCAAAATGAAAAATCTGGAAATAGTACATTCCAAGCATATCCTGAAATGATTACCAGACCTGAGTTTACACTTATGACCACATGGAAGTTCTTCCTCACAAAGTAGTCGACAAGGGGGGCAAGCTCCATAGTGGCACCTATGTGGCTAGCATATAAGATGAAAAATGGAAGTTATTGGAGAGCCTTTTACCAAAATAAATTTTCATCATGTATTAAGTGTCCATAATCTTTTTCAAGTTTTCAAGAAGACTGCTCATTTTATTTTATGACCAAATGAATCAGATTTAAGAGGGGTGAAATGCCTCAAAGTGGACTAAGTAAAATATTGTTGGTAAAATAGAATGGTAGTTAAAGTCAAAGGAATATGTTTCAGAAATAAAAGAATACCATGATTTTGAATGAACCTGCACACTTTAAGGTTTACATGGATACAAAGATTCAAGACTAAGAAAAAAAATCAAGGAGGTTAATCAACAATAGTGTCATGCTCATGCAAAGATCCAGAGCCAAAAAAAGTTCTATATTTCTCTTCATGTTTCTAATTACAGAACAATAAATTATCACTAGCATACTGAAAACTGCAGAAGTGCCAATTTTCATAATTTCATTAGAGTAATAGAGCAAGAGCAATTGCAATTACCTTAGAATTCAATCCATGCCTGCATAAAGGAGAGATATGGCACAACTTGGGACATTTAGGAGGCTTTTGTTCTGCTTCAGTCCCACAAGGAACCTGGCATGAAATGCAAGTTAAAGATGAGAATAAATGGGGCACTAACATGGAATGCAAGTTAAGTCAATTGATAAGGACTTAAAAAGACTGAACATTATTCCACAATAGTATGAATTGTATATTGATTATTGACCACTTTGACTTGGCCACAGTAGATTCCAATGAACTCCTTACATTTCTTGAGTCCTTCCAACCGAGTATAGGCTTCATCYCTATCAGATCCCCCCTTCCACAACAAGAACTAAGTTGACACAGAACATTATTCCACCATTACCTATCCAGACTCACCCAACACATTAAATATGAATTGCAGAACCCATCAAACTAATAGCATGCAAGAATAATTACCTTATCTAATCTCTTGGATACAACCCCTATGCCAAATGGACTCAGGTTTCCAATGAGCATTTTTCAGAACTGGAGTTTCTGGCGTTCCCATTAGGAGCATACAAAACCTGGTTGATATGACCTTCCATGGGGACTGACCTCACCACGGTAAGGGGTATGCTTCTTGATTTTTTCAGATATGGTGCTGGATGAATTTTACAGCAAGTTAATTGCCACTAAAGAGAGACATGATAACATGCCACTGACCTAATCTCTAAAGAACCTTTGCCTTGTCACTTACCTACCATATGAACCCAAAGGAGCATACCAAGCTTAAAGGATGGGTTAATAAATTATTAGCAAAAAGATTCATCAGGGAGAACCTAAGCCTATCTGATGTACCCTCGTATATAACTCATTTCATTGAGATCCTAACTTACATACTCCTTTATTTTCTATAGTGTAGAAGAAACCGGAGAAGACAGGGTAAAATGATCCCAAGCGTCTTCAAAAAGGATTCTCAAAATCCAATTACAGAGTTGATTTCTCCACAGTTGATATTTTGTGGCCTAAGTTTTCTATAAAATCCGCAGCTTGATTTGAAGGTGGGTGTAAGATGAATCAAAAACAATCAAGAATGTTAATGATATCGTAGAACCAATATGAGAACGGTGCGAACTGTTTGAGGAAATGGTAGCAAGTGTTCAATTGGGTTGAGAGATCAGCAAAGGGTCTAGAAGATAATGCTAGCTAGACAAGGAGTTCACAGAGGCCAGCTGAATAGGGATTTTGTGTCCTCGGGAGAGTGATTTGTGAGGAAAGAAAACTGTAACGAGGCAGGTATACTTGGACCTAGCCTACAGAAGTGGGGTTTCCTGAGCACATATGAAAATTATGTACATTGTATCATACATATTCTTTTCCACTATTAATAAATTGATTTTTTTGGTTGCTAATAAAAACAGTGTGGGTATGTAATCTGAGAAGAATTTGGGTTTGGAACCATCCTTAAGGGGAGGCAACATCTCGTGCCTCCTCTTAGGGTGTTTGTACTATTTCTATCTCCATTTAATAAAAATACCATCCATTCATAAAAAGAATAAATAAAAACAGTGTGGGTAAATTAACCTTAATGTTTCAATGTTGTACAACCTGTTGGATATCCCTAATAATGTTGGTGACCGACCCAAGGTGCTACTGTGGTAGAGCTATCCTATTGAGGCAGTCCACCATAATTTCAAATTCCTTTCCACTCGATACTTTGTATCCTAGGTCCAAAGCCATTTTTTTAGATAATTGAAAAGTTATTTTATTATCAAAATGTAAGCGAAGACACAGGATCCCAAAGAGAGGCACAAGGTGCTACCTCTCTTGAAAGTAAAAGTGTAAGAGACCACAATACACTATAATCAAATCATTACAAGGTTGCCCAATACAGATGTTCCCCCAAGGCCCCCTGTTTAGCGAGACTATCAGCCATAGCATTTGCTGACCTTCTCACTCAATGTGTACTACCATTTATATTGCTTGTTAACCAGCTTGCCTTCTTCAAGAAGTCCTTGTAGCACCAAATTACTGAGCTCAGGTCTGTTAACCAGCCCACAACCACCTTAGAATCTCCTTCAATTAGGAGATGCTCCACTCCTATTTGATTTGCTATCTGAATACCTTGTAGAGATGCCAGAAGTTCAGCCTTGATTGAGTCTCCTATTCCCACTGGACCAGAGTATAAGGCCAAAATGTTGCTGTCCTTATCTCTTAATACCCCCCTTATGCTTGAGGGGCCAGGATTTCCTTGACTACTACCATCAAAATTCAGTTTAACCCAGTTATCAAGTGGCGGAGTCCAAATGTCCAATCTACAATGAGGAGGAGCTGTTTGCCACTGCTGACCAGTTTCTCCAAAAGTCATCAAAGGGAACACAACAGAAAAAATCCAAAGTTTTCAGCCAGTTAACTACCCTTGTTAGTATACATTCCTTAACAAGTAAGAGGCTTCTTTCCTTTTCTTGAAAGATTCTTGCATTTCTTTCTTCCCAAATTGTCCAAAGTGTGGCAGCTCTAATAGATTTCCACATAGCCTTCCCTCCTCTAGTGGGCCATACAAAGGTCAACAGGTCAAAAAGCAAACTTACATTTGAAGGCCCATTCCACCTGATCAAAACAAGGCAAAAATCCAATCCCAAATAGCCACAACAAAAGAAAATGAAGTTAGTAAGTGAAAGCAATACTCACCATTTGCTTTGCAAAGAATACACCAGTTAGGGGATAGGCATATGAAAGGCTTTTTCGTATACAAACAGTCTAAAGTATTGATCTTCCCATGAATCACTTCCCAATTTCACTTAATGAAGGAGGAATGATGTTACATTTTGATGGGAGTGCAACGAGCGTTGCAGGCAATCCAGGGTTTATTGGAATAGGGGGATTCTTAAGGGATGAAAGAGGTAACATTTGTTGGGTTTATAGTGGACCAATCAGTTTCACAGACTCAACTAAGGTTGAAGTGTTGGCTGCTTTCACTGGAATCAGAATAGCTAAAAGTTTGGGTATTCAGAATCTTTCCATTGCAGGGGACTCAACAAATACCATCAAATGGTTAAGGGACAAGGAAGGAGGTCCTTGGAGGTTAAGCCATTATTTGGAAGAAGCAAGGGATTCCCTACATAGTTTAAATGTAAACCTGTTTTGGATTCCGAGGGAACTTAATCCTATTGCAGATGGCTTAGTTAAATTGGGTGCTTGCTTAGAAAATCTGTATAGTGATAGGATTCCTCCTTTGTAACCTTTGGGGTTCTCCCCTGCTTTGTACATCCTCTCATGTACTCCTTTTTTATTTTAATGAAATCTGGTTAAACTTTTCTCAAAAAAAAAAAAAAAGAAAAGAAAGAAAGAAAGAAAGCAGCACAAGTAAAGATGCCTTTTGGGTGGGGAGATCAAATCCTCTTATTTGGCTTTAGAGGACCCAAACAAACACTATCAAGGACACGAAGAAGCTCCAAAACAAGAACGAGTTCAGCATCTCTTATGTCCAAAGCCATTTGAACTACTTCCTTTGCCACCCAAGCTTCCACAATGTTGATAGAAATCTTCCCTAGATGATGTGTTTTGCTGAATTAAGTGCTTAGCAAGGATGTTTCTTGCAACACATCCTATGATGGTGTCTTTGTCCTGGCTCATCAATGCATCAAAGGTTATCTTGAGTTGTGGATCCCTCCAAACAATGTACATTATATGCTTTTCTTGTCAATGTGTAGTTGGGTTGAAAATACTTCTTATGGATTATTATCTCCATTGCAGCAGCATTCTCAAAATAGGTGCACCAAGATACTTGAAGCATTTCCCTATAGTCCTACCATAAAGGCATAAAAAAATAGGTGCACCAAGATACTTGTCTTCCTTTGAGAAAATAGGAATTCTCATTGCACCAAGATACTTGTTTTTAGAGTTCATTTGGGAGGTTTTTGGAGAAAAATAATGTCGACTTATTGGAGATATCTTTTGGCCCAATGCCTCCTTAAAGTCCCTTAGATCCTGAGAATTTTGTTATGTGTACCGACTTATTGAAGTTTTGCCTCCTTGAAACCCTATTATAAAGCCCTTCATGTGCGCACTCCCTCTGAATGGTTGTTAAAGTATCTAGTATCCTGAACTTTAAATTCCAAATAGCCACTTAGGAATGTAAGTACAAGATAAAAGTGCATGGTTATAGACTTTTCCAACAAATAATTAAGGCCACAGGTCTAGTAAAGGTAAATAATCATGATTGAAGCTGTTATTGCATGTGCATTTTGAACACATTTTCATATATTTTGGGTTTAAAACATGAATAAATAACTATAAAATTTATAATATAAATCCAAAGCCATTGATCTGCACTTCAGGAATAACATTGTGATCTAGTAGATCTTTTCTTAAAGCAACAAGACCCCATTTCTCTTATACATCAAATTCCTCTGCAAATGCCTTGGTTTGAACAACATGATGACAAAGTTGCAATAGGTTCTCAACAGTACTACAGGTCAAACAAACACAAATATGGTTTACCAACCCCTAGTTCAGCATGATGGAAAACTAGAACAAACTGGGAAAGGAAAAAAAAATTAAGAACATGTAAAAACAAAAACTTACCTCAAAGTGTGTCTCACCACATGAACATGAAATAGTCACCATTACTGGACAAGGAGCACAGGCACCTCTACATTAATTAAAAGAAAGGCCCATTATAAATCATATTGGAAGGTCCATTATTTGTGTGTGTGTGTGTGTCTGAGTGCGTGCGTGCATGTGTATGTGTAAGTGTTTCTTTTAGATACTCCATATTCATGCTAATAGCTTAATGTCTAGGTAAGATTTTTCCATTGAAGATATTTCACATTTGTATGTTTGTATGTATCAAATTGTCATGGCCATTTTCTTACCTTAAAAATGCAAGTAGAAAGCCTCTAGAAACTAATGAATGAAAGGCTCTAAAAGAGCAAGGAAAGGGCCAAGAGGATGTACTTGAAGCAGTAAAAAACCATAGAAGGATTTAAAACTTGACAGAAGACATCTCATGATAGGGTGTGATGGTGGAACAGGATTAGTGTAGCCAATTACAAATAAATGGCACAAGCCTTGTTGAGTTGGATTTCCGAGCTAGGCACTTCTTCGGTACTTTGGATTATCATGCATAAATGATGTTCATCTTTTAAAATAATATAATGCCCAAGTATGATACTTCATTAAATAACTCCTACAGAAGCATATGCTTAAAGAAAGCATATATGTTAATTTCTGAAAGGAGGCTATTGGCCTCCATAAACCAACAGTATGATCGTCATCTGGGATTGCCAAAAGAACTAAACCTAATGGGCAATCAATTTGATTCCTTTAAAAATGCCTATGACAAGTAAGGAAGCATATCAGTGAAACTGATGAGGTTGACAAGAAGAATCTTCTCAGTAAAGAAAACTACAAGGAGAACAACAATGTTCAACGTCATTTCACTCACTTCAGAAAAGGTGGAATGTTTATGGTTCCAATAGTGTCCAAAAATATCACCAAGGACAGACCACAAAAGGCCTTTTCAAAAAGGCAGGTGTTACCAAATAATAAAAAAGTTGAGGAAGCATGCTTAGGTGTTAGATTTATTTACCACTTTACATTCAAGTCAGCCCAATCATCAAAAAAAACATTTTTATTATTATCAAAATTAAAAAGAAACTCAATGATTACTTCAGGCATCACATGGACAAAAGATCAAATGCACATATCATTCAACTACAGGTAAGGGTTTCTTTGATAACTACTTGCTACCTACATGAAGTGTTGGGTACCAGAATTTTTGGATTGAAAGGGAAGGATGACCACCATGTGAATGCAATTAAATCTCAGAGGCTAATTTCCTGCCACTTGACCAATGGCTCTAGAAGAGATATTGGGTTTTCAACCAGATGAAACCAACTCCCAACAATTAAGATGGAGTTGATGACATGCCAAGACCCTATAAAATAAGTCCCACTCAGACTGATACTCAAGTCCAGGACCATAAGTTTATTGTAGGCCCACATAACTGCAGGCATGGTGGACACCTCCCRTGAGAGGGCCAGACRCGGGAGAGGAGGTAGAGTTTCAAGAGGTCACCTTTCCGGGTATGCTCCCCAATCTGCTATCCCCTATGTAGAAGCAGCTCGCAATAACACTTGGACAAAGGAAGGAGCAGCTTCCATCAAAGCCGGTCCAAGCTGTTTCTACATAGGGCTGGAGGGAGAAGGTGTTCAACAATGACTGGACTACCTCAAAGCATGCCTGGTTGGTTCTGTCACTAAAAACTTCTCAATGGAAGCTATCCAGCACTGGGCGTCTAGAAATTGGAACGTTCCTTTCAGGGTGAGGGTAAGGCAAATCTCTAACAATAAGTATCTATTTATTCTTCCCTCTGAATTGGAGGCCCTACGTATCTGGAAAACTGGTGCTCGAAACTTGTTTGGGGAACTCCTCCATCTCGAACCTTGGAATCCCAGGCAAGGCAACTGGCATTTTGGGAACAACGAACCCACCTCTTTCTGGGTTAGAATTGTGGGTCTCCCATTGCATCTTTGGTTAGAAAACTAGGTGAAGAAAATAGGAGACCTTTGTGGAGGTTTCAAAGAGCTGGATAACTCTGTTTCTGCCAAAAGCACAATGGAATGGATACGAGTAAAAGTCCGTTGGCAAGGCCCACCTCCCTCAGTGGCGAACATGGTCGAGGGAGATGATATTTGGACAGTGGCTCTCTGGCCGGAACTAGGCCAAGATTTTAGAGGGGGTGCAGCAGCATCGACGGAGATGGTGGAGGTTGAAGATGATTGGGTTTCAATGAAATTGAAAGGCCAAGATATAGGAGAGTTGGTGGTTTCTTGTGCCTCTTTTTTCAAAGTCTTAAGTCAGCCCCCTAGTCCTGTTGGCCCTCCCTTTCCAGTTAAGGATGTTTGGTGCAGACCAATTCCCCCTAGAGTAGGTAGTTTTTGCTGGGAAGCTTTTTTGGAAAGAATCAACACTGGTGATATGCTCCAAAAGAAAAGACCCAAGACATGTTTATCCCCTTACTGGTGTGTTCTTTGTAAAGCAGAGGGGAAAACTGGTTTTCACCTCTTGGTGACTTGCCAGTTTGCTAAGTCCATTTGGATGTGGGCACTATCCCTTTTTGGGTGTAAATGGAATCCTCCATCAAATTTGCAAAGCCTTTTTTCCCCTTCCTTCTTCAGATGCCGAATGAAAAGGGGAAGGACCATGTGGAGATGTTTGAGGGCTGCAGTATGTTGGGCCCTTTGGGAGGAAAGGAATTCCAGAATCTTCTCTGAAGTAGAAAGAAGCAATGAAAAACTGAGAGAACTGATCCATATAAGGGTTGTACAGTGGCTGAAATCTTCAGAGCTTTTTAAAACTAAACTTTGATGGGAGTAGTCGGGGGAATCCTAGACAGTCGGGGATTAGAGGTGTGTTTAGGGATGAAAATGGGTTTGTTTCAGCCATGTTCTCTTGCCCAATTGGAGTGGGTGACTCTCTCAGGGCTGAGATCTTTGCAGTTTTGGAAGGAGTTCAAAGAGCAAGGAGGTGAATATAAGAAAACTTGTCATTGAAAGGGACTCAGAGGTGGTGGTAGGGTGGCTGAATAAAGAAAATAGCAGATTATGGATGTACAGTAATGAGAGGAGGAAATTTAGGTGGCCGGTTCAAGAGATGGAAGTTAAGATCATCTGGGTGAAAAGATCAGCTAACTCTTTTGCGGATGGGTTAGCTAAGCAAGGAGTCGAGAGGGAGTCAATGTTTTGGGCACATGTGTAATTTTTTTTCCTTTTGTTCTTGGGAATTTTCAGTTCCAGTTGGAAGATAAGAAAGTTTATCTTCCTCACTGTAATTACTTTTGTGATTAAGTAATGAAATGTTGTTATTGATAAAAAAAAATTCTCCCTCTCTCTAGGAGCAAGGGGAACTGCCCCCTCCCCCACCGCACCCGGTAGTACAGTTGGAAGCTGAAGGAGACTGACCCAGAGAACAGACAAATCTGGGTTGTTCGATCTCTGACTTGTGCCAGGCTTCTCTGTTAGCGGATACCTGGCAAAGGTTGAACTAACGTGGCTAGCTAGCTGGATGCCTGGCAAAAGAAGTCCCACAAGCAAAAGAGGCGACATGTCCGCCGGGGCCCAAGCTGAGTCAATCATCAGGGCGGCCCCTCCACAGGCCCACAGGCTTCTTCTCCCCCAAGCCCACCATTTGCCCCCGACTTGGTGGTCTAGGAGACAATCAACCCACTCTCTTCTCAAGCCGATGGCGGTTCCCCAAACCATGTTGAACCGCTTGTCATTTCAAGAGGTCGTCAACCTGAAGATTTTACAAGTCCGGAGTCTTGTAATCCCTCCAGCGGTCCCCAAGATAGGCAGTTACAGGCACACACTCATCCCCAGTTGATGGATTCCCCTCTATCACCAGTGGATATGGCTCTGGCTTCAACAACAACATTTCTAGAGTATCTTAGTGATGTCTCCTCGCCTTAAGTCTCCCCGTTTGCAATGGTGCGACCGGACTTTGACCTGAAGGTAAATGAGCCAACTTCTAAGGTAGCTCTTAACCCCTTAGATGAGAGCCTCTCACCCTGGGTTCTCTCTAAGTTCCTTTCATCTGGGGAATTTCTGGGGGTTTCTTTTACGGTATGGAAAGGGATACGGTGAACCTTTTGTTGGAAATAGAGAAGAGGTTCATCGAGGAAAAAGGAAGGATAGGAGAACTAACAGGGAACTCTTTCGTTTGGCCTGGGGACTCAATGACAGGGCAAGAGATTCAGGTAGTAGAGCTACTGGATCTAGGAGACACAGTTAATTTCTTCTTTCCCTATGCCGACCCTTAAGATTGTTTCTTGGAATTTTAGGGGATTAAACTCGGGAAGGAGGAGAATGTCCATTTGCTCTTTTTCGAATAAGTGGCAGCCGGATGTGGTGTGCTTACAAGAGTCAAAACTACAGCAAGTGGATGCTTCCATAGTTAGAAGCATATGGGGCCAAAGGAATTGTGATTGGTTTGTCTCCCAGCTTTAGGCATGGCAGGCGGAATTTTAGTGATTTGGAGCAATGATACTGTTGAAGTAACTGATAGTTGGTTAGGGGAATTTTCTATCTCTCTAAAATTTAAGGTGATAGTTGGGGGTTTTGCAGGCTTAATGGCCTCATTCTATGGCCCTACTGATGCTGGTGATAGACCCAGATTTTGGAATGAAAAATGCACTCAGAAAGGGAGATTCCTCCACTCCTTGGTGCATCGGAGGGGACTTCAATACGATCAGATTTGCCTCAGAGAAAAATGGGCAAGCTAGAAGAGATAAAGGAATGAGAAAATTTGCAAGTTTTGTTCAGAGGTGGGGTTTAATGGATTTGCCTTTGGCTGGTGCTAACTTTACTTGGACAAACAACCAAGCTGCACCTACGCTAGTGAAGTTGGATGGTTTCCTTATCTTACCTGACTACGAGGACAGCTTTCCAAACTTAACTCAGTTAGCTCTCCCTAGACCCTTGCCAGACCATACCCCCCTTTCTCCTAGACAGTGGAGGGCTATTTCCTCCATTCAGATTTGAACATATGTGGTTAAAGGAATATGGCCTCATGAACATAATTCAGGGGTGGTGGGAGAACATGAGCTTCTCTAGCTCAGCTAGCCATGTGTTCCATTTGAAACTAAAAGAT